TATATCAAAGTGGGTTCTTTGTTGAAGAGATGTTAAATGACTACACAGAAGCTTTAAAGAACAAAGTCGTCTATCAACAGTACACAGCACATGATACTACTATATATGGACTGTTGGCTCTTCTTGGAGAAGAAACAACACAACCGATTCAGTACGCCTCTACTCTTGCTTTTGAATATTATAATAAAGCGGACGAAATGTATGTTAGAGTATTGTTGAATGACAAAGTACTCAAGTTAAATGATATTTGCATCGAAGTTGATGGGATGTGTAAATATAGCGATTTTGAGACAAAGATGAAAGCACTTATTCCGAAGTACGAAGATTGCCAAGTTAAAGATTCAATACACAGAACACTCTCAAGAAAGGGGTGGTATACTTACAATTGATTCGTTTTATATTCTGTTGAAGAGGAAATGCAATTTAATAAATGAATTTATTAAATTAATCATTAGTTCAATATTATTTTAATATGGTTTTGTCCACTTTTAAAAATTTTTAAAAAGAATTTCGTTTGAGTTTTCTTCTTTTTTGATCAACTCCTCTTTATTTCTTCATTCCCATTTCTTACTTGCTAACGCCCATTATAATAACACACGTGTGATATGAGGCTGTTTTATTTATAGAAACTATTATTTTATAACAAAAATATTAATATATTAATATATGTTTTTTGTGAATTGAAGTAATTGGTGTTTTGGGAAGAAACAGAAATCATCTGTGAATTGATAGAGAGTCAAGAGCCAATATCTGTGAAATACCGAATCGTAGAACTCATATATAACTTACTCATTACTACGAAATGACTATGGACCCTGTTAAAGCTAAAAAGGTGTTTGAGACATACGCCACGGACAAGTTTTTAGATAAAAGTAAATTCAAAGAGGCACTTGGTGCACTTTTTGAGGTCGACTATAAAGATGAAAATATTGACGAGGCGTTTGAGGACCTATTTAAAATGGCGGACGGCAAAGGGATTTTCAATAAAAAAGATAGCAAAATCAATTATAGTGAGTTCAACAATTTGTGCAAATTACTTCCAGCAAAGTGGGAATGTCCAAAACAAGTTATTTTGACTCTCCTATTTAGACTAGCTGATACTAAC